CTCGGTGTTGCCATTGCTGGTGGTCGTTGCCGTTGCCGTTGCTGGCTGTGCTGCTGGCGGTGCAACGAGTAGTGGAAGGAGGTTGTTGCGATGCGTGTTTGGTACCATCATCTGAGTGCGCAGTGCGGGCTCCGAGCTGATCAGCGATGCAAGCAGATGGTTGGCTTTTGCGGTGTCATCGCTATCGTCCTCGTCAATTTTGGCATTCTTTGGGAAGCTGCCATTTTCAGAAGCCATCGCGGGGTCCAGTTCACTCTTGATGCCGTTGGTCACCATACTCAACAGCTGTGAGGTTGACGGAATCGAGAAATCATTGCTCAGATCAAAGGCGCTCGAAAGGTCAAAGATATTTCCAGCCGAGCCATTCAGCAACGCGTTGCTCATGTCGTGGTAGGCCTGCAGCTGGGCTGACAGTGGTGACTCTTTTTTTGCGCCAGCGCTGCTGCCCAAACCACTGTTTCGCCGGGTGGTTTTTTGTCGAGGCCGGCCCTTCACGATTGCCTTTGCAAATCCGTTCGCTTCACGCTGCTTCGATTCCTCGATCGTTGGCGGAACACAAAAATGGTCGTTTGCTTCTGGAAAATCCGGATCATTCACGATATAGCCGTTTTTCACAGCAATGCACGGGATCTGCGGTGGCTTTCCATCCGCACCAGGCGGCACTTTGTTCTTCATGCTCCGGCACGACATACACCGATAATAGCATGAGCTAACACCAGACTGGTTGGTGAAACGTGTTTTGAAGGCAAACTCTCGTCGATGACCGGGATGTGAGCGGCTTTCATACACCAGAACGTGTCCACCAAAAACAGTGGGAATGAACGTTGCTGGATGAGTTGTAAACTTCGGCAACTCAGCAGCCGTGAATACCATCGGCGGGGCTTCGCAATCACGCCGTTTTACGCCCAAAAAGTCCAGGCGAGTCCTGAAAACGGAGCAATTCATGATGCTACAGAAAAGCAACAGCAACGAACAATGAGCAAATGGTATTCAAACTCAACACAAAAACCACGGGAAGCGCACGACACGCAGAAAAATGCGGAAAAGATTATAGCTTTTTTTTGGCAGGCTGAATCGGACGCATGGTGCCCTAATTTGCAACAGTATTGCACCGTTATATGCTTCGTTTCATCTAGCACAAAGCTTACATAACCTGACTCATAAAGTCCTGAAAAAGAATTTGGACTCACTGGAGAGCAACAGGCTTTGAAATTTATTTTTGAAGCAAAAAAAAGTAGGCTTTGAGAACCTGCTAATACCCACTGAATTGCACTACTGCTACGAACGAATTACTGAAACTCAAGGTTACGAGCTTTCCTTATCCTGCACTTTTTTATGCGTTTTGTGCTGTGTAACAGCAGTACAAAACGCATATTGTTACGGGGTTGTCTG